ATACTTGCAATTCAAGAAATCATAGAACAAAAAGAGAAATATCAATATTGATACTTGATTTGTCGTAGGTGCAAATCATGTAGGGACCACTTCGAATATACTTTGGTTTTCTGGAAGCAGAGTAATGCTTCTCTTTATCATTATATGTGGTGTTGTCAAATATGTTGAATCACAATGTTAGAGCATCCAAAGTGGGAAGGTAATATTTTCAAGGCTGTAAAGCCACTTTTATATTCCTTTTACATATTGGGATGTAAATATTTTTTTTCCTCCAAGAGAATATGTAAATTCAAAGATATATATTCGATTTTTTTTTATGTTAATCCAAAGAAATTTATTTTACATTTGCAAAGTCTATGTGTATATATATATTAATTTAGGTAATTCTTGGCCGACATGAAATATGATTTTCAAGTGATTACCCATCACACTTAAATTGATTTATTTTCTACTTGTCACCGTCGGGTTTGTTAATTTCAATCGCAGTCGGAGGTGGTGGTGGACGATGAGAGGTGCAAGAACGAGTTCTTGGTTTTCTTTTGCTTTTTCTTTCTTTCTTTTTTTTAAAAAACAAATCAAGTTTTCTGGGTTTTGTACTGCGTGTCTTGGTGTTGAGCAATTCTTTTTTTTTTTTTTTTTTTAAAAAAACAAATCAAGTTTTTGGGGTTTTGTACTGCGTGTTTTGGTGTTGAGCAATTTTTTTTTTTTTTTTTTTTTTTAAACTTTTAGTTTTAGTTAAATTATTATAAATACAATAATCGAAGAGAGAATAAGAGAAAAAAAGAAAGCAGCAAAAAAAAATAGAGAGAGAGAGAGTGAGAAGGAAGAAGAAAAGAGGAAAAAAGAGAAGAAGAAGATAGAAAGAGGAAAGAAGAGGAGAGGAGAAAAAGAGGAAAGAAAGATGATGGAGAATGGAGTCGTTGGAGATATGAGAAATGGCTGAGGGAGAGTGTCACAAACAAGGATTAACAACATTTTACTTCTTCCAGATTTATGTGCAGTATCAAAATAGGCCCTAAGTTTTCAATTTGAGACTCAACGTTTCTAAACCTTTAACATTGTCCGGATTGACCATCTCCAATATGGGATCCGCCACAAAATTAATTTAAATTCAATAAATAATATTAAAATATTAAATAATGAAAGGGAAAAAAACAACAAAATCTCTCTCCCTTTCTCTCAATGAGTTTCAAGCTTCTTATTACAACAGCAATATTGATAATGTGCAAATTCAGGGAAATAATCCTTTGTGCTTGCATGAATTTTATTTTTTTTAATTAATTATTATTATTTTTTTGCAAATACTCCAGGGAAACTCCTCATATGTGAATTCATGATCCTTCCCATTTTGATGAAGCTTTTTGTGGTTCATAATCTTTCTTGCAGATACTTGAGAAATTATAGAATACTAATCACTCCAGATACTTTAGAGGAATTGGGTGCAGGGTGAGACCTTTTCTCCTTATTGCTAACAACAGCTTCTTCCTCCCTCTACCCCACTCTCTGTCCACCATATCCATGGAGACCGAACCAGCCACTCCACCTCCACAGCCAAACCCACCCACCCTTTCGGGCTCTCTCTCCCCTTCATCATTTCCCTTTCACCCTCACTCCGTTTTGATTTTAGAATATATTAAACATAACTCCATCAAATTACTTAAAATGTTCATAACTTTCTCAATAACAATTACCTACATGAGAAAAATAAGCATGAAACTAACTAGGTTGGATTGGATTGACTTCTTACAAGCAAATCCGTCATCCGATCAAATCATGTCGGTTTTTTAAATTAAGGATATCCAATCCAATCCGTCAAATCATTAAAACTGATTAAAATTGAATTGGATCAGTCGGTTTGGGCCAATTGGATTGGATCTTGCGCACCCCTACAAGTGATGGTCCATCCGGGGGGGGGGGAGGGGGGAGGCGATAATGGACCCTTGCGTCAATCCAACCAGCTCTAGGTCGCACGTTTACTCTGGCCCTGGGTGTGGGAGTAGCCTCTCCCTCCCCTAAACTTTTGTTCATTAAAAAAAAAAATTGTTCTAAAAAAGGAAACAAAAGATTGTGGAATTAAACAGGGAAAAGCCAAAATTATCGGGCGCTCTTTTTCTTGTCTAGCTACCCTAACTCTCTTCACACGCTACGCTACCACCCGAACAAACAAACAGAGCCTTCACCTTCTACCAGGAGGAAACCGTAGCCTGGTAACCCTAAGTCTTCTTCTATTTATTCTTCTGGTTATTTACATACAGAGTCTTCTTCAGGATTTCTTATTATTTTCTTATTTTGGTTATATACTTAGCGTTCTTCGTTTACTGAGTGAGGGTGTACTTGGGGCTCTGATTTATTCTCAGGTATCAATTCTTTGGCTTCAAAAACATATTTTGGTTTTTCTGTGAATTTTAATTTGACTACCCGATATCTGCAATTCTGCTGTGATTTAGCATATTATGGTTTTGCTGTCAGAAGAGCCAGAACCCATCTTTCGAGTTGTAGAAACAATGATTCTTATTGATATATGTATGTCTAGGTTACTAATAGAAAAAAATCAAGAAAGAATCGACATTGGGAGCGTCTTAAAATAATAAAGATTAAGAAATAATTTATCTGGGCTAAGTTGTATGACGGACTTAATTTTTATTGCTATAAAACTAATTTTATTGAAAGAACCTCCTTTTTTAATCTCACAATTTACAATCTCATCTCTATGTGAAGCTTGAACCCTAATAAATCCAAAGCTCTGCAGGCAGCAGCATTCCTCTCTTTCCAACAGACTCATCCATGGACCTTGTCTTATCCTTAGATTGCCAGAAATCGGATGCCCAGTCGGTGGGGCTCAATGAGGACCGCGGTGCAAAGGAACTTTTCGCGCCAGATATCCCCCGCATCAGCGATTTGTCAATCTGTGTCAATTCGGTTGTCGTCAATAAGAAAGGTGGCGGAAAGGTCTTTTGCCCACCAGAGATGGTCCCCCTTCACCACGATACGTCTCTACTTTTGAAACTCGGCTGGCCAATCGGTATGATTTTCTTTTTTCCTTTAATTTAAGGGTTTCTAACGAAGAGTTTTTGCAATTTAATTACCTGGGCTTTAGATTTTATGTCTCAGCTTTTGTGTATGACGATTTCTCTTTTAGATCGAAAATATTTACTTTTTGGTGCATGTATTTCGTCTCAAACAATATTTTAGTTCTATTTGATTTAGAAATAATTTTACAGGGAGATTAGTTTTGAGTGAGTTCGTGCATTTGGTTATTTGGGTGTATTTTTTCGACAAAATTTTTGTGTTGCACGTTTCTCTTTTATTTTTGGGAAGTAATTGAAAAATATGGTGGCATGCCTTTGCTCTGAATTTGGATTGTTGATAGACAAATGGTTAATTACTTGAACTCAGTGTTTTTAGACCAGTTTTCTAAAAAAGCTTTTTTATGTTTGCAGTATTTGAATGAGAGAATAGAATAGTAAAAGGGCCTTTATTTAAATGTTTCATGCCTTACTAGCCCTTTATTTAGAACCAAGGGCTGCTGCTGCTCACACTTATTCTCCTCTCCTATGTCTTAGTGCTCCTGGTATGCTCTTGACTTTTGTTTTTAGGGTTTGAGAGGAAGATTATCTGGAATTTGCTTGGACTCTCTGTATTTTGGAAAAAAAGAAAGTTTTTTTTCTTTTAGTTTGGTCAATGTCGAATCAATTCTGTTTTTGAAGACAATTTATGCATCCAAGTTACTTTGGTGTGTGCATATTGGATAACCGACATTTAATATTATAGTTATTTTTTTATGGATCATAGATCTCATTCTTTCTAACTTCTTTGACATCATCACTTTTTTATTGTATTTAACAATGTAATTGCAAATAGGTAGCAAAGCTGAAGAAACAAAGGCGGGTCCTGATGGCACCTACATTCCTTCCTTCCAGCTCCCTCGTCCTGATATTGGTATGCCTTTGATTTTAGAGAGAGAGAGAAATAAAATTATATGGCTCCTCCTCCCAACAAACCCTTGCCTCCCCTTGCGTCTGTAGCTTCTCTATTTACAATTTTACATATATTTCATCAAAGACTCTTGTTATTCAATATCATGTGCTCACAAGACTGATATTTGGGATTTTTCATCCTCATTCATTCATTTATTTTTTCTATAAATAATTATTTTTATTGTTTTCGTTGTATCTGATAATAGATTTATAAATTGCAAACAGGTGAATGCGAGTATTGTTTAAAGGTGGGTGAGCACATTCCACAACGATGCCCTTACAAGGATCATGTCCCAAAGAATGCAATTCTTGGCAGTGGTTGTGATGTGGTATGTAGGGTATGTGGTTGGTTCTTTAGAGGGTCCTGTTGTCGCCAAGATGAAGGACGTGCGATTCTCAAGAATTGTGGTATCTGTTTGACTACAGGTAAACACTGGTCTGCATCATGCCCGACCCTTCCACCCGCCAGCAGGAAAGATATTCCTTCTGAACCATGTTTTTCTATCAAGTTTGTATGAAACTGAAATAATAGAGAATGGAGAGTTACTGTTTCTTTAACGTTAAGTACAATTTAACAAATATAATTAGACATTTTATTTTTCTTAATGTTTTTAATTAGCTGTAATCTTCGCAACTCTTGTGTTACAAATTCAATAGGTGTTGTTTGTTATTCTAATATATCATAACTCTCGTGTTACAAAATATCTTTGAGTTCAGATTAATGTTTTTCTTTGCGTTTGCTATAAAGGTAATAAAAATATTTATACACAAATAAACCTAATTAATCTTATTTTTCCAAACCCTGACTTTTGCCCCTTTTTCTAGTTGTAATATTAAATATACCTATTCCGCCGGAGAGAATATTACTCTCATGTATGCTTCTAAAACAAAAGAGACAAATGTGGCAAAATAATATTAGTTAAGGAACATAGGGCCACATGGAATTTACATTGATCATATGCCTAACATTGAGAATTGACAAGAATCAGAAGCCAAAGCCAAGGAAATCTCACAGAGGCTCCCTCTAAATTCTAACATGGAGCAAAGGAAGGGTTTGAGATTGATACTGTTTCCAATGCCCCTTCAAGGCCATTTAAACCCCATGCTAGAACTGGCCAACCTTCTTCACCACAAAGGATTCTCCATAACCATCATCCACACCCAATTCAACTCTCTCAACCCTTCAACCTATCCACACTTCACCTTCCACTCAATTCCTGTTGCCTTATCTCAAGCTGAGGCCTCCACAAGCGATATTTTGGCGTTTATTTCTCTTCTCAATGTTAAGTGTTCTGAACCCTTCAGAGAATGCTTGGCTAGGTTGCTATCAGATAATCAGGAGCCTGTTGCTTGCTTGATCTCTGACCTTCTGTTTCACTTCACTCAACCTGTTGCTGAGAGCCTTAAGCTCCCAAGGATTCTATTAAGGACTTCAGCTGCCTTTTCCTTTGTTGCTTATGCTGCATTTCCACTTCTGCTGGAAAAGGGTTACCTCCCCATACAAGGTGTGGTTTTTTATTAAGCTTCTTTCTTTACATGTTTCGTTGTGGATCCAGATCCTCTGCTTATCTTTGTTCAAAGCACAAAAATCTCATACCAAGAATGTCAAGTTTTGCACTACAGTACGTAAGATGTTAGGCATATCCGCTCATTATCGATAGGTTTTGAGTTAGATGCTTTAATTTTATTGATCTTCATTTTAAATCTAATTCGCTTATTAGAAGTCTAAGAATTATAATGTATTTTTATTTGACTACATCAAACCTATTTAACTAAGATGGAAAAAGTCCTTTGATTTTTAATAAACAATTTAGTTAAAAACAAAGATATCCAGACAAAGAGAAAGTCCAAATTCCCTGGCTGTTTGCCACAAAATCTACATGCATTGTTATATATGCTATTACACTTGACAATTACTTAAATTTTTGGGTGACAACAATTTCCTACGCTTTCAATTACTTCATATTTTCATTAGCATATTTTTATCTTGGTGTCATTAGATTCTCAACTAGAAGAACCAGTTATAGAGCTTCCACCTCTCAAAGTCAAAGACCTTCCGGTGCTCAAAACTATGGAGCCAGAAAAATACTATGAACTAGTGTCAGGCCTGAAGAAAGAAACTGAGGCCTCAGATGGGATCATTTTCAATACTTTTGAGGACCTTGAAGGAAATTCACTGGCCACAATTCGCCAAGAATTCAACATCCCAATTTTCCCAATAGGCCCATTTCACAAGTGCTTCCCTGCAGCCTCTTCTTCTTCGTCAAGTAGCAGCTTATTATCACAAGACCAAAGCTGCATTCCATGGCTAAACTCCCAAGCACCAAAATCTGTCATCTATGTCAGCTTTGGAAGCATTGCTGCAATAAGTGAAGCCCAATTTTTGGAGATGGCTTGGGGGCTAGCCAACAGCAACCAACCCTTTTTGTGGGTGATCCGACCCGGATTAGTCCATGGGTCGGAGTGGCTTGAACCACTGCCAAGTGGGTTCTTAGAGGCCTTGAATGGGAGGGCCCACATTGTGAAATGGGCTCCACAAAAGGAGGTGCTGGCCCACCCAGCTGTTGGAGTGTTTTGGACTCACAATGGTTGGAATTCTACATTGGAGAGCATTTGTGAGGGGGTCCCTATGATTTGCATGCCATGTCTCAGTGATCAAATGGCGAATGCAAGATGTGTAAGTGATGTTTGGAAAGTAGGGTTACAGTTGGAGCATCGGATGAAAAGAGGTGAGATTGAAACAACAGTTAGGAAAATAATGGTGGAGAAAGAAGGGGAGGAGATTAGAGAGAGAATCTTCAAGCTAATGGACAAGGCAAATGTTTGCATCAAACAAGGTGGCTCTTCATACCAATCCTTGGAGGCCTTGGTTAAGCACATTTTGTCATTAGAAAAATGATAATTTGCTTTCCAAACTAAGAGTCAATGACTCTCCAACTTGGTGGTTTGAGGGCATTAGGAGGCCTTGTGTTGTTGTGTAGTCTAAAATTTTTACTGCTTGTAATTTAAACCTAAAGATTTTAACAACTTTGTGCCTTTATTGGAGGGGGATTGTGTATCGCCTCAATAATCAATTCTATGTATTTTTTTTTACAAGCGATTAGGGGAGGAGAAATATTCATTTGGTGCTTAAGAGTTTTGAACCTCTGCCCATAAAGATATAGATAGAGGAACACAACCGATTGAGCCATACCCCACTTGCTCGACGCCATGTAGTTAAAGGTTATTTAGATAGAAGATTTTCAAAATGGTTTTTTTGGGTTGATTTTTTAATGTTGATTTGAAAGCTCAAACGGCAAAGCCCAATAAGGGATCCGAAAACCGAAATAACCCAAAGGCAAAGCCAGGCCCGCAATAAAGACAAAAGTAGAGGTGAATAAGGATTGCTGGGCCCTTTCTGATAAAAAAAGAAGAAGGGATTTCTAGGCTCTACCAATACAATGCATGTTTACTAATCTGTTTGGATTAGGCGGAGTTGGATTGAGAAAATTAGGTTCCGAATTTCTATTGAAGTTGTTTACTAAATCATATGGAATTGGGGTATGAGTGGACCCAATTACTAAAATATCCTTGTTGGTGGGTTAAAGCAGATTGCATATTTGAAAATTTTAAAATTGTGTGATGATATAATGGGTAAAAAAGATGAATTCCTAATTGATTAGTTCTCCAATAATTAGAATACCACTTCCCATCCAAGAATTCAATTCCTCTAAAATCAGGAATTCAATTCCTAGTTTTGTGTGGGCCCCACTTACTTTTTAATTCCTTAATGTGAAGTAAACACAGGAATCCTCAATAAGTGGAATTCAATTCCTGATGAGAATTCTAATTCTGATTAGTAAACACATTAATAGAAATTAGAGGCAACCAATCAAATCAAGTTCTCCACAAAATCTCCTTTTGCCAACCAGCAAGAAACTAGGAAAATAAAAGTTTTGGTTTTTATATGACCCAAGTTGATAAAAACTCGAAACGAAGTTGGAGTCTCAAGCCGTACTTGTCTCTCAGGTTTGCAAAGAAAAATTTATATTTGTGGTGTTTGCTCAACTGTTATTTTCCTACAACTTTGCTTCAAGATTTTTAATTCTTTACAAGTAAGATTTTCTTATGTTGTTATAATTTTTCCCTTCTTGTTACTTTTTTTCCCCTTCTTGTTACTTTTTATTCCGTATAACCTTTTTATGCATATATAATTGTTTTGTGCCCTGTTAATGTTGAAAGATTGTAAATTTTTTGATATGTATTCGGTGTATATGTTGGCCCCCCCCCACATGAAATCCTAGCTCGGCTAACAACATTCATGATTTCTTTTTCTCAGATTTTCTCACTGTTTCTCAACAACCAATCACAGTTTTTTTTTTTTTCGCTATTCTCTTCAACTACTTTTTCTTCATAACCCTATGACTTTGTAAAGTCTTGCCCTTTGCGTTGTTTATCTGTGAACAACTTATAGTCTTTCTTTCAGTTGTTAATATAGAATATTCTAGATTGAATATGGTTTCTGGAAAAAATAGCTGTGCTTTTTGGTTCTGTTTGTTTCCATTGAAAAACTTTCTACAGAAAGTAGAATTTCATGCGTAGATAGCCGTGAAGGTATGGTTTAAAGTTTCTAACTAGAAAAAATGTACAGGGACATAAAAATGGGTTCGAAATCAAAGCCTCGCAGACTAAAAAAGAAGCCAAGGCGTCAAGACAGTGTTAAAGATAGGATCAGTGAGTTACCAGATGCAATTCTTTGTCACATACTTTCCTTCATTCCAACAAAATATGCTGTGAGAACTAGCATTCTGTCTACAAGATGGAAGAGGATATGGGCTTCTGCTCCCATTCTAGACTTCGAATATAAAGATATGTCTGTTTTTAATCCGCGGACAGTGGGATATAAGTCTGAGTCCTATGCTGTCTTTTTAACTTTTGTTGATCATGTTCTTTCCTCCCGTGACCCGTTAGATATTCAAAAATTTCGTCTTCATTGTTACTGCAGCGATAAGGATTTCTCTCGCATTTATGGTTGGATTCGAACCGTCATTAGGCATAATGTTGTTGAACTTGATCTTCATGTCGAAATAAATAATGATGAAGGTGGCCTGATTTTGGAGTTGCCTCAATGCGTTTTCATGTGCAAAACACTGGAGGTTTTGAAGGTGAAGTCAAATTGTATAGCATATGCTCCTCCTACATCAGGGTGTTTTCCAAGTCTCAAGTTCCTACATATCAGTGTTGATTATCCTGATAATGACTCAATGGAAAAGATTTTTGCTTGCTGCCCTGTTCTTGAATGTTTGACTATAGGTGGACTTCTTGGACTCAATGATGTTTTGAATTTCAACATCTCTGTGCCTCAACTAACGACGTTGAGACTGGAATTCAACCTAAGCTGTTTTGGTCAAGATAGTGACCACACTTTTTTTATAAATTGTCCAAAGCTTGAAAGCCTTGATATCAAGCAGGATATTTTGTCAAATTATTCATTCGAGAACGTAAAATCTTTGGTCAAAGCAAATGTCAATCTCTGGTGCCATTATGTGCATCACCGGCGTGCCTTTTCTAACAGAGCAACTGCGCTTCTGGCCGGATTTTCCAATGTTAAGTACCTGTCGCTTTCAGCTCATTTTTTGAAGGTAAGTATGCCATAACTCGCTCCTTTTACTCAATGTTTAGTAGAGAGGAGTATAGGAAGGAGAGCAGGGTAGCATGCAAGCCCATCTTTTGAATCCCTCTATAAATAAATGGTTATTTGGTTTTGGTTTAGGAAGGAAATAATTAAGAAATAGAAAGCAACTGAAAAGTCTGTAGACATTTCTTTCCTTCCATGATATTCTAAACTTCATGATGAAAAAACACATCCCCAGCAGGCATGTCCCCCTCCCCTTGTAGTTTAGACTATCGCTTGTTTTTATAAAAAAAGTAGTGTTTGTACTGAAAGTAGTGTCTTCCATTCTGGTGCTTTATGATTTGCAATAGTATGCTGCTATGCATAAGAGCATCCACAGTGGGGGGGGTGTATGTTAAATATACACCCCTAGTCACCGGAATGGTCTCCAATGGTGAGATGTAAATGGATGTAAATATACATCACCACCATGAGGATGTAAAATAAAATGTATATTTACATCCATTTTTACATCTCTTGCAGGCGGGACCCACCCGAGAAAAGAGAAGAAAAATGAAGAAAAGTCAACATAAAAGGCTGGGACCCACGGCTACACCCCCGAATTTACACCCCCCACTGGAGCAAAAAACATATTTACACCCCCCGGAGGTGTAAAGGGGATGTAAAAGTGGCTTTACACTCCCGAATTTACACCCCCCAACCGTGGATGCTCTAAGTAAATGTTTAATTCATGCATGAGTTTATGTTTGATTTGTATTTTATCTTTCACGAAGGGTGGCTGTCTGCCTGCATTTGATAATTTGAGTGAATTGAAGCTGGTTCTTCATGATCGCTATCAGTGGGATTTGCTAACAGAGCTGCTCCAGAGATCACCTAATCTGGAATATCTTGTCTTGGAACATAAAGAAGTAAGATGCACTTTCACTAATGCTACGTCCTACCAACATGTATCTCTTTACTATTCTCATTTCATTCTTACTTTGCAGAACATATCATGTTTTGGGGATTACAAAAAGCAATACTTGAAACATGTCTTAGACTCAGAGCATCGATGGAGAAGACCAGAATCTGTGCCTGTTTGTCTGATATCACACCTCAAGACTGTCACCATATATAAGGGGATACAAGGGATACCCGCATGAGAAGAAAGTGGCTAAGTATTCGTTAAAGAAGGGTCAAGTTTTGAGTAAGATGACTATTTGTAATGACTTATCCAAAGATTTTGCAATGTCTCGAAGGGCTTCAAAGGCTTGTCAAGTTGAATTTAACTGAAGTTTTTATTTTGTTAGTCCAATATTGGGTTTTAGATGGATTCTGTTATCGAAGTTGTAAATCAGAGAAAACCCCTTTGTTGATCTTAAGATGGATCGATTTGCATGGGATTGAAGGTTTGCAATGTAGGAGCATTAAGCTCCTTCGAATTAATTGTTGTTTAATTTTTTATACAAGTCTTTCTAGTCAGAATAAGATTATCAAATGCTCATTTTATTCACCATCACAAAACGTTTAACATGCAAGCATCTAAAACGTAATTAACGTAAACATGGAAATTATAAACGAACCCCTTTCGAATTTAGTGTTACTTCTCATTTTAATGTTAAAATATTATTCAATTAAATGAAATAATGCGCATGAAAGCCCAAAGAGACAGAGCCCAAAAGGGAGTTGAAAAAAGGAAACAAATGCTCAAAGCCAGAGACGCAACTGAAAGAGAAGATGCATATAATGCTCTAGTTTTCATAAAGAAGTTTCACATTTTCATTTCATAGTCGCAAGTTGCAACAGAGATGGTCAAAGCGGCGTCGTACCTGTGGTTACAATTTTCTTAGCCTTTCCCGCCGTTTCTCGACAACCAAGCAGGGCTTTTACTATTCGCTCACACTAGGGCTCTACTCGGCCATCTCAGAACGTTTCAGGTACTTTTTTCTTCATAACCCTTTAGCTTCTTCCGTGCCATCTGTTTGGTTACCGAGAAACTGAGAAATGATTCATGGAAAGTACAAGTCTTTCCCTTTGCATTGTTTATTTGTGAAGAAAATGTAATCTCTCTTTTCAGTTGCTAATTCTAGATCGAATATGGTTTCCGGAAAATTGTTCCTTTGATGATCTTTTTTCTTGGGTCTGTCTGTTTTCATCGGAAAGCTTTTCCCTAGAAAATAGAATTTCATATTTCTTCATACATGAATAGTTTAATGTTTCTAAGTAACTGAACAGAGACATAAAAATTAGGAGTTTTTAGTTCTAGTTATTATTTTTTTTTTATCCAAATGCACAGAGACATAAAGATGGGTTCGAGGGTAAAGGGTCTCTTACTAATGGGTGGGAAGATACCAAATAAGAAGTCAAATCCTCCAGCAAGAGTTGAAGACAAGATCAGTAAATTACCAAATGAAGTACTTTGTCACATCCTTTCGTTCCTCCCAACAAAATATGCGGTGAGGACCAGCATTCTCTCTACAAGATGGAAGAACGTATGGGCTTTTGTTCCCAACCTAGACTTCAAATATGTAGAAGCCAAGTCTTATTTTTTCAACAGAAAGAAAGACAAGTCTACCTCTGCTGGTTTCTTGACATTTGTTGATCGTGTGATTTCCCTTCGTGGTTCATCAGATATTAAAAAATTCTGTCTTCATTGTTCCTACGGTATTAAGGATTTTGCTCGTATTGATGGTTGGATTCGAACTGCTATCCAGCATAATGTTGTTGAACTTGATCTTTGTTTTGAAACAACAGATAAAGACCTGGCTTTTGAGTTGCCCCAATTCATTTTCATGTGTAAAACACTGGTGGTTTTGAAGTTGAGGTCAAATTGTATTACCAATGCTCCTCCTGCGTCAGGGTGTTTCCTCCTAAGTCTCAAGATTCTCCATGTCAGAGTTGAATATCCTGTTAATGATTCGATGGAAAAGATTTTTTCTTGCTGTCCTGTACTTGAAGATTTGACTATAGATGGACTTCTTGGATCAGATGATGTTTTGAATTTCAAGATATCTGCTCCTGAACTAAAGACGTTAAGATTGATATTGCCGCATAGAAACTGGGTTGGCGATCATGATCATCAGTACTGTTTTCTTATTAATTGTCCAAAGCTTGAAAACATTGATCTAAAGCAGGATATTTTGTCGAAATATTTATTCAAGAATGCAAAATCCCTGGTCAAAGCCAGTCTTAATCTCTTTAGCCATGCTGTGGCGGATCAACAGCCCGACTTTTCTAACCGTGCAAATGCACTTCTGGCTGGAATTTCCAATGTTAAATATCTTTCTCTATCAGCTCATGTTTGGGAAGTAAGTATGCACTAACTTGTTCCTTTTAAACTTTGTTTGGTAGAGAGGATGGGATGAAGGGATGGTTGGAAGAGAGGAAGGATTTGTGCTCCTTCTTTTGTAAAGAGGAAGACTGGAGGGGTGTGGAACGCATAGGTGTCAATATTTTCAATCACTTCGAAGTTGGACATATTGAAAGAATGAAACAAATTAAATAGTAATTTGCTTTTGGTTTGTATAGGAAATGAATAAGATGTTGATCTGTAGTTACATGAGGAGATTCTCATTTCATCTCTTATTTTCTTATTTTCCTTTTGGAAATCATCTTATTCCCTTTTACGTACCAGAGAAATGAAGAAAATCTTAGCCGAGGGATAGACACATCACTTGTTGATTATGGCTCAACTTGCACCGAAAGAACTTTGTGCTATCATGTGGGAGGATGCTGTCATGTGGGGGCAGCAGCTTTGCAGGTGAATAACAACTTTGCAGCGCCTTTGCAGAGGAATATTGAAGCTTTGGCAGAAGATGGGAGCACGTGGGAGACAAAAGCCATGCAAACTTGGCTGGCTTTCTGACTTCATAGTTGGCCTCATAATTTGACTAGCAGCTGAAGAAGTAGAGTAGAGGGAGAGAAACAGCAAGAAGCCATTCGGCAGAGAGAAGAAAATTCTCTCAAGTTGTCTTTGCTTTGTATTTTCAGTTTCTCTTCCTATTGTAAATGTGTGAGCTTGGGTTATTTGGGTCTTTGGGAAATTGAGTGATAAACACTGTTGTATGTTCTCATTGATTATAGTGGAATACTCCGTCGTCTCCAAACTGGATGTAGGCATTGCCGAACCAGTATAAATCTTGGTGTTCTTGTTGGTGTTGTTTGTGTTCATTTTATCTCCTGCTAGTTGTGTTTATTTTCACTCGCACTTGGTTGACGCTTCCGCACAACAAGTGGTATCAGAGCTCCAGTTTCGACTGGGGAAATTGGCGTGCTACAGTACTGTGAACAGTACCGCTTCTACAGTGCCGTGAACAGTAGCTGCGCTACAGTAGCCGTGAATAGTGATTTGCTACAGTAGCCGTGAATAGTGCCGAGTGGATTTGATGGCTGGAGATAAAGATGAATCTGTGAAGGAGAAGGAGTCGGCATCATCTTCGTCGGCACCTACATCCAATAGACATCCGATCGCTACTACAAGGTTAGAGGTTGATAAATTCAATGGCTCTAATAGTTTTGGTATGTGGCAATGTGAAGTTATGGATGTGTTGTATCAACAAGAATTGGATATAGTTCTGGAGGATAAACCAGAAGATATTGATAACAAGCAGTGGACGCGAATTAATCTTCATGCTTGTGCCACTATTCGATCATTCCTTGATAAAGAGTTGAAATACCCATATATGAAGGAAACTTCTGCTAAGGAGTTTTGGACGAAATTGGAGGAGAAGTATATGACCAAGAGTGCAGAAAATCGGCTCTTCTTGAAGAAGCGACTCTTCCG